TTGTTTTTGTTTCGGAATCTGAAGGTTATAGATGTAATAGTATGGATGTGAAATTGTGAAGGGTGACCATTACGCGATCAAAATAAATAATGGAAAAAAAGAATGGCCTAATTGTATGGCTTTGGTGTTTATTTTTGGGAACAGCTATTCGTGGATACACAACTCTTCTCTGTACATGCAAATCTTGTTCTTTTCTTTATCCAAAAGCTAAGCTATAGGAGGATTGATTACATGTATACGTTAAAAACAAACTATGAGAAATACAATACTATGAGACATAGGTGAGAATTGTGGTATCAATCATCTGTATTTGTAACTTTATTGTTTGAGAAAAGTGTATATGGAAAAAGACTTCCATATAATGAGGATTTGATCTTTAAACACTTGGTGTTTAGATCTTAATACTCAACGGTCACCAACATATGTTTTGTTTGTGCTATTCTCAATATAATATATGCGTTGATAATATTAACGAGCGATTATGGTTTTCATACATTATTTAGTCAGATGTGTTATATAACTTGTGTAACAGTATAATATATGCGTTGACAATATTAACGAGTGTGTTTTCATACATGATTTAGTCGGGTGTGGTTTATAACTTGTGTAAAAGTTTTATTTATTTTGTTTTGTCTTCTTGAAGATGCTTAAAAAACTCTTTTTGCAATCGAAGTGTCCTTTGTTCAGAAGAACCGAGTACCTTATAAGTAAAATCTCTATGCAGTAACAACGTTGGACCATAATTCTTTCTTATTTTCATGAGATATTATTAATTTAGCAAAAGATAATTAAATCAAAATTTTAATTTGGATCCAAAAATTCTATTCATTTATCGAAGTGTTATTTTATCAAGTATTATTTAATAGAGTTCTACTATAAATCATGTGTCCTTTTTTGTTTAATTGTTTCCACATTTAACTAAGCTATCACTAATTCTTCAAGCCTCAACTTTTCAACAAGTTAATTTGTGTAGTTCTACTTCTAACAATTACATAAAATGTTAAACTAATACTCTCTATGTTTCAAATACTTGTCATTTTACATTTTTAATGTATATTTATGATATATTTTTCAATTTTATCTTTATTTTTTTAGCTTATTAACTAGTTATATCAAATAAAACAGTATAGTATATAAAGGTAAACCAATAAAATTAGTTAATTTCTTAATTTGCGTGAAAATCGCTAACGACAAATAAATATGTTTTGTTGCCATTAGAAAAAAAATATATATATATATATGACAACTGGATTTTAATAATTATTCTTACTTTATATGTCTAACTATAATCTGACAACAAAACATTTCTATAACGAAGGTGGTCAAACGAAAATTTGTCATGTCTCTTTATTCATTGTATGCAATACAAATTAATGTTTTCAGATTTGAACATATCAGAAATTACAATTATAATGTGTAGATCTTTTACTATATATGATGTCCTTTCTGTATATCTTATGTCATTATATATTTTCTCTCATATTTTATTGGATAATCATTAAGATTTTTATCTATTTTCTACATTTTTTACTATACATGTATATAATTCTTTATGTAAAATGAACATATTTTGATATATTTGTGTGTATCTCTAATAACAATTTCACCTATAAATAATGTTGGTTTTGCTTAAGTTTCTTTCAACAAGTTTATCAATCTTCTTCATTACCCTTCTACCTCACCAAACACTGTCGGCCTTTCAAGATTCCCGGTTTCTCACATCCACTTTTGATCAAGAGCATCAACGTGATGCCTCATATCATTTCTGATAATAACAACAATTATCATCCCTAGTGGTCTATGGGGCTTAAATGTTAATTGCATCGCAACGAAGAATAACTAAACCATATTGCTATGTTTTCTTAAGGTTTCTAGTGTCGGAAGCTGAAGAATCTCTTCACCGAAGAATTGGAGAAAACTGTGTTAAAGGTGTTTCACATCAGTTTTCTCCATATTGTTTCGTGAAGAGAGTTCCTTCACTTCCATTTCCGAAACTGGAAACCCACGAGAAAATGTTAGGAATGGGGTGCGGTCGTTCTCCATCGTAATGCAAGTAGCGCTCCAGCCACAAACACCACTTAGGAATGATGAATAAGTTGTTATTTGTTAATGCCCCCAAAGGTTGGATGCGGGAACCCTGGAATCTCGAGGGGGCGGCAGAGTCTAGGGAAGTAGGGGGTAATGGAGAAGGTAGAAGAACTCGTTGAAGGGTGTCAGAGAAAACTCGAGAACAAATAGTAGTTAGTTAAGAAGTTCTTGATTCATGTGATGTTTGTAGATTATTTGAAGAAATACTTATTTATTTTTTCCATATATCTTGCAGTGAGAGGGATACAGTTGAATTCATTTGGTGGTTCAGAAGCCTCAAGGCACCGGAAGGACGAGACAGCCTCATTAGCGAAATCCTCAATCAATGGATCTCCAAGAGCAGGATGATGTAATTATGTAATTAAAAATTATATATATGATTAATGTAAACCCTAATAAAATTAATAATATTGGCTTTGTTTCCATGATTGCTGAGGAATATCCGAATATCTTTCAAACTCGTATCTTTCCATGAATCTTTGATGTGGTAGCGAATTGCTTGTACGTACTCATCTTCTTCTAGGTTACACTAATGATTTTCTCTTCAAACCGTCATGCATCTAGCACAATTCTATATAATTTTCTATCCAGATTTGTGACTATGATTATTTCTCTCTTAAACTTTGTAGACTTTGAATATTGGTTCATTGTGTTGGTATATGATATCAGGACGCATATTGAGGTTACTCTCAGACTCAGTCGTCACGAATACCTTGTGCTTATTTATTGGCTTTTTGATCGCTGATCCACCTCTTCTCTATTCAGTGCTTCTATGGATGTTTTGTCTTTTCCGGAAGTAACCGAGAAGTTGGCTTTCATCCAGTCTACAATGTTTCAATATCGCAATCTCCTTTCTCACGTCTCCATTATCCTCTTAACTTTGATTTTTTTGTTTTCTGATCTTCGTCTAGGAGAAAATCAACCTGTGTCATAGCAAGAGTAAAATATTTGTTCAAAGACTATGATGTTTTACTTTCCAGTTTTCGGCAAGAATAAAACCGGAAAAATGTAGAAGAAACGATTCTCAGATGCGAAGAAGACAAGAAGTAGGGTCAAATTTTGTGTGTAAAGATTGTATTATTTTGTTATATGATCGTTTTGTCCATTTGATTGTGAAGCTTTTGTTACATTAACTTACAATATTATTTACCAAATGTTTTTTTTTGTAGAGTTAGTATGGACATCATGCTAATGCACATTGTTTACTCCTACACGTAGCTAATATCCTCAGTGTTATTTTCGTATATTCTTTAATTTGGAAGGAATATCAGATCGAACAGAAAATGTAGCAAATCAATGTTTTTTTTTTTTTTTTTTTTTTTTTTTTTTTTCTGGCGAAATATTTAATCGTGTTATTTACATTAGTATAATAAGCCAAAATTGTCTTCCTTCTCTCGATGTTTACTATTCGATCAAAAATCGTTTGAAATTTCATTTTTAGTTTTTGTTTCTGAATCTGAAGGTTATAATATGGATGTGAATGGTGACCATTACGCGATCAAAATGAATAATGGAAAAAAGAATAAAAAGAAAAACAAAATGTGGAATTTTAATTTTAATTCTTTCCCATATTGATCAGGATTTTTTAAAACATTATAAGGAATGCGAGAGAATAAACTTTTACTTGCGAACGTGTATTTTTCACATGTTACGTTGCAGTGATAGAGATAAATCCATCATTCCCTTTGTCACCTATCTCAAATATTTTTTTCCCATATAACTTCCTTAACAAAAGTGATCAATGAGAATTTGCCACACCTCTACATTCATTGTACTCAACACAAAGTTTTTTTTTTCACATTTGAAAATATCAGAAATGCGATTTCTTTTACTATATATGAATATGATGAGCTAGAAAAAAATTCAAAGTAATTTCTTTTACAAAGTAATTCGTTCACATTTGGAAAGAACATTTGGGAGCTAGATTTATGGTTCGCTCATGTTGGAAAGGCATCCTCAGGGAAATGAGGTAGGTTTTTAGGCTTGGTAAAAATTGAAAGTCCAACGTCTTGTGTTTAGTCCTCATGATCAAATCACAAGACATACCAAACCAACAAATATCCTTCGCAAAGAAACTAAATATTGCTAATTAGTTATTAATAGGTTTAAGAGGTTCACTTTGTTGGGCGAACGTGCTTAGCATTAGACATTTCTTTTGTTAGTTTGATATGGCTCAAGACAATTAATCGGTCACCTGAAAAGTTCGAAAGTGACTCTGAAGCTTGATTCCAGAGGAGACACTATTTTGTGGATCCAAAATTGAGGATTGGCCGTATACTGGCTTCTCTAGGAGGCCGAGGAATGATTTTGTCACATTGCTCTCAGAGCATTCCAGACGTGTTATATAATATAGACACATGTTGCTGCCTAATTGATATGCAAAAAGAATAATCATTTATAATTTTATACAATGATTCCAAAAATGAAAACAAAAAGAAACCTTACATTTATGAACGTGTCTGCTTATAAATGGAATACATGTATATTAAAGTCAATTTTCGTTACAACAAAATAGTAAAGTGGATTCGCATTACCAAGAACAATAACACTATAGTAAAATTTATGGGTAGGTGGTTAAGCGGTAGTTAGGCTATAATAAAAGCACTATCAATTGCTCTCATGCACAAAAATAATTGAACAAAATCTATCATAAATTATTAATTCGCCATTGCACACATTTGCGATATTATACAGATATATTTATATTTATCAAGTCAAAATTCATTTCCATAACACTCAAATTGTAATTGATATTTGTTTTCTTATAAAAGTGCAAAAATGATGATAAATGGTTCTATGGATTCAAAAGAAAAACACACCAAAATTAGTAATTAGAAGTGTTTTGAACAAAATACAAATATACTTATGTTCGTATATAGAGAGATATGTAATAATGTAGGTATCCGGTAAGCTCAACAATTAAACTCACGGAGCCAATCTTCATCATCGCCACGATGAAGACAAGAAGTGAAAGGTCTATTGAGATCAAGATTACCCTGAGAAGAATCATCAGCACGAACAAAATCTCCCATAATCTCATCAGGTGAAACAAGAGATGTGTTTCCACAACCCAAACCATCAAAATCCATCAAATCAGGGAAGAGAAACTCTGACTGAATTTTGTCGAAATCGAATTCAAGATCTCCCAACAAAGAAGAAGAACCAGCTTGATGATCATGCTCCATCTTAGTGCTCTCTTGTTCTTTGAGAGGTAGAAGATTAGTACTACTAGTATCACAACTCTGTTTCTGAAAAGTGAGAGCCTTAGAGCACCTAATGGCCTTTGTGCGTATAACACAGACACTGTTCTTGTTGTTGGTCGAATGTTTTCGAAGTTTTTGTTGGTTTGTTTGTTTTTTGGGAAGTCTCTTGCGGAGGTTTGAGTTCCAATGATTCTTTATTTCATTGTCTGTTCGCCCTGGAAGCCTCCCAGCTATCAAAGACCATCTACATTTATGCAGCTAAATCTATCAAATGATTTTACTTGTAAAACAAGAAAAAAAATCTATGTATATTGGTGAAAAGTGAATCTTAATAACCTGTTTCCAAGGAGATTATGGAGGCGGATTATGAGTTCTTCTTCATCAGATGAGATGTTTCCACGCTTTATACCGGGTCTCAAGTAGTTTTTCCACCTAAGTCTACAGCTTTTGCCACACCTCTTGAGACCTTTTATATGTGCCAAGACAATTATTGTGTTGATGTAAATTTTAATACATGAAAATGGATATAGATCGAGAGATAGATATGTACCAGCATGGTTTGGGAGAGTGCTCCATTTGCCTTCGCCATGGATCATGATGTAATCTCTTAGGATCTTGTCTTCTTGATCAGTCCAAACTCCTCTGTTTAACTCATCTCTCTTCACACTATTGTTACTTGTTCTCTTTCCCATTCTCTCTCTCTCTCTCTCTCTCTCTCTCTCTCTCTCTCTCTCTCTCTCTCTCTCTCTCTCTCTCTGTGGTTGTGTGGTTGGTACAATTGTCTTTAGTGTTGTGTGTGAGAATAGATTCTGTTATTGTGTGTGTTAACAAAGTATCTTTATAGGAGTTGTTGCAATGTCCGTACATCAGTCGCTTTCCATAACCTCTGTCACTCACAACACACTTTGGATTTTCAATGCTTTCCTCACCTGGTAATAATGGTAAAGGATATTTTTACTGCGAATATTTTCATCATGAAATAATTTGTTTCCTTATTTAAAAAGTATTATACAAATCCTTTAAACCCATTTCACACGATGATCACTAGTCTAATCTGCTAAGACTCTAATCTAAAACGATCTAAAACGACCTTGATCGTTATTGTATGAACAAATGAGGCATGAAAATGAAACTTAGTAAAAATAGTCACATTCTAGTAAAATGTAGTCAATCCTAGCCACATTCTAGTATGCAACTAATTATGAGTTGTTCTCAATTAACACGTAGTCTCATGCTTACCACAATATAGTCCTGCCTCATGAACAAACAAAAAGAAAATCGCTTAGGCCTTTCAAGATTACTGTACATAATTAAATTTAGGGTTCCCAAGTCTTAAATAATTTTATTTGGTCTATTGGCAAACAAATGTCACTTTTAGTGTTTCCTTTCTTTTTTCAGTTCGGAAATCTTTTGATCTTTCACAATCAAAGAGTTGAAGGTTCATATTCAAAGTGTAAATATGTTTATATTTCTTTTAATTTATTAATTCACAACGATGATTTTTTTCGGTTGTCTTATTATATTTGTTTTACTCTCTTTGTATTTGGTCTAATTTCAATCACTTTCTATATACTCTTTGATCCATTCAACTGAATGACTAAGAAGAATTGTCTAAAATACACATTTAAACATTTTGTTAGAAAACTCAAAATGTCACTTGATCAACGGATTATCAAAAAGATAAAGTTTAATCATATACCGAGTCATGATAACGACACATTAACCACCATGTATAAACTCACGCGAAACACAAAATCTTGCATTCGTAATCTTGATTAGTTTCATGTTCATTATGGTCTTCTCCATCAACATTTTAGCCGTCATTCGACTAGACACTTGCATATGCACACGACCAAACACAACTTATACTGTATCGATTCGGCAGCAAATTTGACTTCTATAAGTGTTGTGGAGAAAAATGTTTTACAATGGAGAAAAAGAAAGTTATAAATGGGCCATAATGTTTAATAATATTGGGCCTATAAATCTCTAAATCGCCGAGCCTTTGCTATTAACTTTATATATTGACGACGCAAATTTAGGGTTTTTTAAGTCTCTAGCCTCTCGCCGACGAAGCTCTGCAACAACAATGGCGACTCAGATCAGCAAAAAGAGAAAGGTGACATTTTTTTCTCACATTTCCTCTCTCTCTCTCAGCCAATCGATAGTGTGTTGATTATTTTGAGTTTTCTCTTTTGTAGTTCGTTGCCGATGGTGTTTTCTACGCCGAGCTAAACGAGGTCTTGACAAGAGAGCTTGCTGAAGATGGTTACTCTGGTGTCGAGGTCCGTGTCACTCCCATGCGTACCGAAATCATCATCAGAGCCACTCGTACTCAAAACGTTCTCGGTATGTTTTTCGTTGATCTTTTGTGCGATTGATCATCGAATATGTTAGATCTTCTCTGTTTTTGACTTGATATATCTTTTGTGATTTAGGTGAGAAGGGTAGGAGAATCAGAGAGTTGACATCACTTGTCCAGAAGAGATTCAGATTTCCTGTGGACAGTGTTGAGCTTTACGCTGAGAAAGTCGTCAGCAGAGGTCTCTGCGCCATTGCTCAGGCTGAGTCTCTCCGCTACAAGCTTCTCGGTGGTCTTGCTGTTCGTAGGTATGTGATTTCAGTACATTCCAAACCTTTCTTCTGCATCATTTGATTTGATTTCGTTCATCGTTTATTGATTTGTATGCTTGGAGATTAGAGATTGCTATTTGTATGGAGTTTTTAGTTTGTGTTAATGGCTGTTAGTATGTGCATTGTGTATGAATGAATTGCTTAGACATACAAACCATGAAACGAATTGATTGTTTGTATTACAAATGTTGTGTATATAAACGTATTTTGGTGCTGATCATCAATCAGGAGATTGGACTAGGTGTTGGAAGAGCCGCTTAGTTTGCTTAGAAACACTAATCCTGGATCTTGTCACGCTTCTTGTGTCACTTGAAATTTGTTATTATTCTTCCAAATATGATGTTGATGCTTTTATCTCTTGAGCTCAGAATGTTTAATCTTTTGTTGTTGGTACAGAGCTTGCTATGGTGTTTTGAGGTTTGTGATGGAGAGTGGAGCTAAAGGATGTGAAGTCAGTACACATCCCACTACTTTGTTTTATCCTTTTTTATTAGGATAACTCTACAGTGTTCTTATCTTCTTCGCCAAATGCGTGTGCTTTTGCAGGTCATTGTGAGTGGCAAACTCCGTGCAGCACGTGCCAAGTCGATGAAGTTCAAGGATGGTTACATGGTTTCCTCTGGTCAACCAACCAAAGACTACATTGATGCTGCAGTCAGGCACGTTCTGCTTAGACAGGTCAGTTTTCACCTGAGTCTCTTGAACTTTTTCATCCCCTGAAACCAACACTGTGTATCTATCTATATAGAGGCTCTTGTGTAACACGAGATCCTGGTTTGCTTCGATGTTGCAGGGTGTGCTCGGAATCAAGGTGAAGATTATGCTCGACTGGGACCCCACGGGCAAACTAGGACCCAAGACACCATTGCCTGATGTTGTGATCATCCATGCTCCAAAGGAAGAAGAGTTTAACCACGCTTCTGTTGCCGTTGCTGCTCCAGTTGCTCTTGCCCCTGAAGCTCCTCTAACCACCACAGATTACCCAGCTATGCCTGTGGCTTAGAAAAGCCTGTTCTTTCGCTTGTCTGGTTTTAGTACTTAATGAAGATTTTGTGTTTCTTTTTTTGGGAGTTTTGGTATGTTACTTTAAACATAATATAAGATCTTGAGGTCAAATTGACATTAAGGATTATAGGTCTTTGTTTATCCTATTACTTGGTTTCTTTAAATCCTTTTCTATCTATCAAAAATTGTGTTTTTCAAAGTTTAATAACCATACCAAAATATGTTTCAGTGAATGAAACTGTAATATAAGAAACATGAGATTAGAAGGAGAAGAAAATAGTTCATTGCTGAAACATTACATGAATTCACAATTTCAATAATACCACGCAACAATGAAAAGAGAAGACATCTCTCTTAGCCTCTCTTAACAGGGTCAAAGTTGGAGACACCAACGACCACACCGATGATCACGGTGAGCACAACGCCTCCGGCTGCAATGCTAAGCAAGAAGTTCTTGAGAGAAGGAGAGATTCCTGAGCCAGCAGCTTCAGCATACTCAGGGATCACCATCGAAACTGTGAGAGCTGCCGCGGCTAAGCCGCTCACAGCCTTGTCCATTTTCAGGCTAGAAGCATTCACTTGAAACCTTCGTGAAGGCATGGCTAAGGAGGAGGAGGAGGAGGAGGAGGAGGAGGAGGAGGTCTTGGATGGCTTCAAAGGCAATGGCTTGAGGAAGGCGATGGTTTTCGCGGACGACGAAGATGATCGGTTTTGGGTAAGTGGCATGACAAATGACACAGCGGTAGTAGAAGCCATTTCTCACTCTTGTCTCTCTCTCTCTCTTCTCTTCTCTTCGATCTTTTTGAGTTTCTTTCTCAATGTGTTCGACAAGAAATGAAAGGTGAAGCCGGAAGCGTAAGATATGTCATATGAGAGGAGTAGAAGATATGAGTCCCACGTGGCAGTTTCTGAGCTTGGAAGTTTGATTCGTTAGATAAGGTTATCTTCATTTTAATTTTTCTGGTCAGTCCAATTGTACAATTAAAACATTTATTTTATTTTACCTACAATTTTACAAAAATTATGTAGACATTTTTTTAAATTTATTATTACTAACTTTTTAGTGCTATTCAACATTTTGTACTTTTGAATTTCAAATGATATTAATGTAGAAAAGCTTAAGATCTTTGTTGTCTGTTCTTTTTGTTCTGCTGACATTTCATAAACTCTCTGTTCGTGAATTTCTAAAACGACGCAGCCTTTAAAGAGAAAATGTCAGGCTAAAAATCGTCATTTACAAAACGGCATAGGTTCAGAGGCAAATGTTTGAATTTCACATCTTTCTTAATTCGGCCAGAAACATTTCAAGGTCTTCAAGCTTTCCATCTGAGTACCACACAGAAAAAGAAGGACGAAAAATAAGCATTGAACGCTAATTATTATATCTCGTCAATATCACAACAATGTCAAATTTTGTTACCGGAAGTCGTCGCCGGAAACTCTTTACCACTGTTCTTTAGCCTCTCAACTTCACCGCTTTCAATGGCTTTCATTCTTCTTGCTTTCAGCCTACCGATCCCTTCACGAAGTTCTGTTGCCATATTCGCCACCTCTGCAGAAAACCAATATTTGAGTTGTAAGTCGTCTCTAGTCATTCTATGAACAATCAAACAAACAAACAAATGGTTTCCCTGAACACGTATAAAAATACAGTAGACTACCACCACTACCTGATAATCTAAATGACTAATAATACATTCTGAATGAGATAATAAAAATCACATCAAAACCAATCAGCAACATATCTCCAGAGATTTCACAAGCGAGATCAGGACGTTAATCAAAATGTAGCAAGCAGCAAGAAAATGACAATCTGGTCATGTTCAGGGATCTAATATCTAAAAACAGAGCCAACCTTCTTAGCAATGATGTAATCTGGAAACTCAATATCTAAATCATTCCATTGAAGTGAATCCTGAGATCTCATCAAAGGCTAAAATGAAGTTTTTGCATCTTGATTACCTTTGAACATATCATCCACAGACGATTTGTCATAAAGCTCCAAAGCTTCATTAACGAGTCTCGCAGACTGTTCATTCGAAACCGAGGTTCTCTCTAGAGCTTGAAGCTCAGAGTTAAGCTCAGCAGACCTCTTCCCTACCTAAAAACAAAGTTATCTCATTTAAGTAACCAAAAAATTGCAAAAGCACAAGAATCAAAGTACACATTTTTTTTTTGTCTCACTCACCAAATGAAGCTTATGCCTTAGAGAATCCAATTCTGCATCCAACTCTTGCTCATTTGACCCATCTTGGATGTTTTGGTTGACAGACGATTCGTCCTGATGAACATAAAAGGTTTCATCAAACACTATTGAAGAAGAAAATTGAAAATGAGAAGAGACATATATATAGACTCACACTCTCTGGCATCACAAACTCTTCAGGGACTGCGAAAGTGAATCTCACACAATAACCTTCCCACATTTTCAGGCGATTGTCGAGAACAGACTGAATCATACCACGAACACGATCTATACCCTAAAAGACACAGAGTCAAGAGTTTTAGCAGACGATAAAGATGAAGAATAAACCGAAATCAGGGAGATAAAAACTCACGTTTGACAACTCTTGTGACCGATTGTTAGATCCTCCATCGATTTTGAGAAATTTGGATGCTTCACTGCGAAATGGAAGAATCAAAACCCTCGATTAAAGAAAAAGCTTGCATCGAAGTCTTCGTACAAATATGCGATTGAGAGAGAGAGGAAGAGAAAGAGAATAACCTGATGAAGAAATCAAATGCTTCGTCGACAACGTCGTCGACGGTGTTAATCGTTGCGTTGATGAAAAGCTGAGGATTGAGATTCATGGAATCGAACACCGCCTCGCTTCTGCTGCCCTCCATTATTCTCCCCCTCCGATCAATTTCTACAACTCAGGAACCCTAATTTCCCAGCAATTGGGGAGAATTTTGGGAAGAAGTTAGTAGCGAGTGCAAGTGAACACTTGATTTGATTGAATCTCAGCAACGTCTTTTTGGAATGATGAACACACGGACGACGGATGTGAAATTTGAATTATGTTTTTTTTTGTTTCAAAACATTTAGTGAAAATTTAATATTCTTTAATGTTTTTCAGAGACTACGAGCAACAAATACATAATTAAAGACGGAAGAGAAAATAAAACACATAAATATTATAATTATAATAATAACACATGATACTGATTAATAGTTTGACATATAAACCAATAAGAATTTAAAAATCATAATAAAAATTTATTGAAAAACAAAAAAAGTGTATCAAAAAAAAACATTTCTCTTTATTTATCGGTAGAACCTTAAATTCTCTTTCTTTATTAAAAAAAACATTTCTCTTTATAAAATAACAAAAATTGGCAAAAAGTTCATTAAAATAAACTGAGGGAATATGTTAAAATAACAAATAAGCCAATCTTCCACCGTCGAACAATCTTCGGAGATGATCAAACTGAGAGATTTGTGATCCCAAGATCTCGAATGGATCAAACTCATTCCGAGTAACGTCCCGTGATCTGAACATGAGTACCTTTTGGGAACAAAAGTATGTACTGTCGAAGCACTTTGGTGTCACTGTTCATTGACCATCTGCAAACAATTGGTACATTAACCAACATTAACATTACGTAAGTAGACCCATTTACGATTAATGTTAAGTAAACTGAATTAACCTGTATCTTGACAAATGGTGGACAAAAATCGCCATATTCAGCTTTGCAAACTCAGCCCCAACGCAGAGTCTAGGACCAGCGCCAAAAGGCATGTAACTTTTGGATATGGTTGCACTCAAGTCTTTTCCCTGACATAAAAAAAGTAATAAAAAAATTTGCCATAATAATTAATTGTAGTTCCGTAGCCATCATAAACAAATTGATAAAACTAACCTTCCATCTCCACGGATTGAATGATAACGGGTCATCGTACTTTTCTTCACTCAAGTGAATAAGAGGATATCCCATGAAGGTCCAGCCTGCTGGAATTGTGTAACCTATATTCCACATTTAAAAAACAAAAAAAAACCTTCTTCTTTACTCTCTCGAAATTAAACATTTTGTTTGGACTTTCAGTTCTGTCTTTTTATTCGAAATATAAATCGAGTGCTAAATAAAAGTGCATTGATAACGCTTACCTCGAACCTCCAAGTCATGAGTAGTTTTTCTAAGCACCGTGGGGAACGTGCTTGTGGTTCGTAGCGACTCATTTATCACCTGAACACACAGAAATACAATTTGGCCATGAATATATAATAAAGCGGTTAATTTGGTTGAGACTTACATATATTATATATAAGAGACTTTTAACCCTTGAGTGTTCATAACAAGGTTTAGAACAAAACGAAAAAAAAATGAGAATTCCATACCATGTGGGTGAAAGTCATGGATTTGTAGTCCTCCCACGTAAGCCCGGCCTCTTTATCAGTCTTATTTTGGACAATTGCTTCATGCTCTCTCTGCATAGAAATCATTCGTTCGTATACATAACCCTAGTAAATGGAGCAGAACTGCTATCTATCTCGGAGGATTAAAGGAAAAAAGATTGATGAACCTGTAGCTCTTGCATGACTTGAGGGTGGTCCGATATTTGCTTCACCATCGCAGCAAGAGTCCGGGGAGTAGTTTCGTGAGCAAGCAGGAAGAACGTATATATGTATTCGACGACAGTGTCTAGGCTTATAGTTTCCCCTTGTCGCTCCATTTCTTGAAATATGATATCCAAGAACTCACCAAGTTCCTCTCCTGAAGCTCTCTTCTTCACTATCATCTCCTTTATTATCGTCAACATCTTCTTTCGCGCCTATCACATAAAGATCATATAAAGAGTTAAAGACTCTGCATGCACTTGTATATTTTTTAGGTTGTGTGATTTTTTATTTTACAACTAGAACATGTGGCCTATAGATACAAGATGATGACCACTATACTACGTCACTTGGGCTAGTTTTGGTCTGGCTTTGATAAAAAAACACACGCACCTTTAAAATTTGGTAGACCGTCGAGCCAGGGAAGTTATACGAGAAACCGAACCAGCCACTCGGGATGCCTCTCCAACAGAGTTCGAGTTCTTTTGCGGCCTCGTGTTCCATATCTCCCATAACTTTCTTTGCAAGGCATTGCATTAAAATCTACATCGATTTTCATGTTAGACAATTGATTGCGATTTAGGTTGTTGTGTACATATATATCATGGCAATCATAGTAGTTGAATTTCTACCTTGCTTGACGTCTCCCTAATGTCAAGACCGCCACCCCTAGCTCCTATCTCCATGTGTCTGCGCGCTGAGAGATCGATATCTTGTATCATCCTAAGTCTCAAACCTTGTGAACCCAACAACTGGAGTGTCAAGTTCCTGACATGTTTATGGGATTCCTTGCTTTGGGAAAACAAGTTCTTTTTCCCGAATAGACGCGTTAAACTCTCCGTAGCACCAATAACAGAATTCACCTTTGCTATCTCCATGTTTAGTGCAATATCCGTGGAGACGATAACCTTGGCCCCAAATATGCTTGTCCGAAAAAGAGGTCCATGTCTGATTGTCAAAGCAAGAGACGAAATACAAGTTAAGGGGCGTGTAACATAGATAAAGCAATATATAGTTTATCAAGAAATATTAAATCACAAAACCTGAGCATTCTTTTTCTAAGGAATGTTGAAAATTCAAGAGTGTCATGAGGCTTCATAAACTCAAATGTCTCCCCAATAATCGGAAAACCCATCGAACCTGGAGGAAGTTTTTCTTTCCCTTTCGGATTTGTCCACTGATAGATCCATATACACAACTTCATTACAAAGAGTGAAACTATCATAGGCCACCACAACTCATGGATCTCTATCATCTTTCTTTCTACCTAATGTAATTCTCGATTTCGGGTTGCATCATTCTTTCATGCCGTGTGCACCTTGTATTTATAGCAGTGATTTAGTAGTTGATTTTTTTTTCTTGTTTGGTAAAGATTTAGTAGTTAATTTCATCATCACAAATATTATGTTAAGGATCAATCATGATCTCATCATCTCAATCACGCCTGATATTATGGAGCTATTTATGTATAGTAGTATCTTCTCATTAACTCTCACTAGGTTTTGAAGCCCCGCGCATGTGCGGGGTTGTTTGCGACAATTTTTCCATCTGGTTTTATTATTTTCTTTAATTTCAAATATTATAGTTTTGCATTAACTTTATTATGTTAATTATGTTAATTTCGTAAATAAAAATTCTATTTTTTAAATAAACATATCACAACCCTTAAAACTTTCTTGTTTTCGTTGCAATGAAAGTTACATATAATAACTCGAATTCAATTGTTCTTAAAAAAAATATTATAACTCTAATTTCTCATTAGTTTTTTACTTTATTACTTCAATTATATTCTATATTTTTAAAATCGTAAATACATTGTAAAATTTTAAAATATAATTATTATTTTATACAACTTTTTAAATAAAAAAATTAACAATACATACATTATTTCGATTTAAATATTTATTTAGTTCATATTTATTTTATATTATATTTGTCTTTAACTTTTATTAAATTATCACATATTTTCTATTAATTTTTTTGTGTATTTTTTAGTTTATTTATGTTTAAGATAAGAATATATGTAAAAATATGAATAAACATGTATTTCATAGATATTCTAAGTACAAATTAATTTTAAATATTTAATTTAGAAATAATAATTATGGTGGAGTCCATAATTTGCTGATGTGGATAGCCTAAATGGAGAGAACACTCTCTAATTATATATAAGATATACAAATTACAAGGACTAATATGCAATCCATAAAAGATTTGTAAGGTTTCACTATTCACATGTTTTAAAATTAAAGGGATAAATATCTTTTGGAATGCCAAAAAACCTTAAAATTTAAAGGAATAAGGGTCTCTTGGACAAGCTCTACAAAAATGTGACAATTAATAATTTTGGTTACATATAAAAATATATTAAGATGATGTTTTATGGGTGGGTAATATTCTAGATATCAAACAAACGGTAAGGCGTTTGGATACCAGCACTAGAAACAGCAAAACTTTTAAGCGAAACAACAAGATGTGCGTTTGCCAATAAAAGCAAGTACCGAAGCGTCCGTTTCGTTAAAAAAAGAATACAAAACATACAATTGAGTTGCCGTGAGTAAGACTCCATGAAAAGAAAAGGCTTTGTCGGATTACGGAATCGCAAGGAAAAAGTAAGTAACTTCGGCTATATACATATTCAAAACTAGGGCAACTTTAACTGATACCACAGCAAAATAAAGCTTCTCTTAAAACGCTCACAAACGCGTGTCTAGAGCGGAGTGTTCAAAAAGGCACAAACCCTAAAAGACTCTCTCATTGCCTATTGAGAACGTGGCTGCTATACTTCTCTACCAGTCGGATCTTCTTAAATCCTAATACCACCACATTAGGTGAATTCTGTAGTCGATTTTTCTCGGTTTGGATCTTCTTAGATATACGTTTGTATTAAAGGGTAGTTTGGTCTTCTACTAAGCACACTAGTAGAGTAGCCGCACGTTTGTGCGGTGTGACGTTGTGGTTTTGTATAGAAAATTTAAACCCTAAATCCGAATCCGACCAAAAAACCCTAATCATAAATTAAAAAACTTTTTTAATATATCTAAACCCGAAAAGCCGAAATCCAAAAAATCCGGAAAACTGTAAACTGAAAAAAAAACTCGAACCTAACCTGAACAGAAATTTTCAAAGAAACCCGAACAATTTCTATATCTCTATAAAATTAGGTCTCAGATTTTCACTCAAACCCGAACTTGTCTATAAAAATCCGAAAATCCAAAAAGCATATTCTATTGATTTGGTAAGATTTCTTTTTTTGCAGACTTTTAAGAGTTGGAAAACGGAAGTTTTCTAAACCATCGGTTTGTTTTAAATTATTATTCTTGTATCCAAACAATTTTTTCCATTTAATCTTCTATCTAAATAGATTTTTCTCTTATTCTTGTATCCAAACATTACAATGTACTAAATTGACCCTAATTAAATCTGTTGTCAAACACTTTCTCTTCATAATTAGATTGGTTTTTTGGTCATAAATTTTTCATGTACTTCTTAATTAATAATATAAGGATAATTAGGTTTAATGACTTGTATAAATGTGTAGCCTCTTTCATCTCGATCAACAAGAAGACAACCTTTAATACGTTTAGGTTAATTCACAGGTTCAGTTCTGCTAGTGGATTGTAATGGAGGAAACGAAAGCTAAAGGAAATTGTTTCAAAGAGCCTGCAGGTTTGTCACGTGCAAGAGAAGATATCATAAGCGAACTACCTGACTCTTTGATATCTGAGATTCTCTCGTATCTTCCGACAAAGGAAGCTGTTAGGACTTGTGTTTTGTCCAATAGGTGGAAAAGTGTCTGGCTTTTGATTCCCGGGTTGGATTTGATCTCTTCCATGTTCCCAAATTACAATGCATTTGTGAGCACTATAGACAGGTTCTTAGATTCCTCTAGGAAAGAGAATTCATGCTTGCACAAGCTCAAGCTAAGCATTATTAAAGATGAGAACGATCAGTCTTGTGTCCCGCGTTGGGTAGACTTTGTGGCTACGCGTAAACTTAAGCATCTTGATGTTCAGTATCTTCTTATGAAGCGCCAGTGTCTGGAAGTGATGCCCTTAAGCCTCTATATCTGTGAGACTTTGCTTTACTTAAGACTCTATAAGGTGTCTCTAGGTCGTTTTGAGTGTGTTTCTTTACCTTGTGTCAAGACTATGCGTTTGGAAAACAATTTATATGTCAATGATGCTTGCCTGGAGTCGCTTATCTCGTCTTGCCCCGTTCTTGAAGATCTGATTTTTGTTAAAAGATATAAAGATGATAATGTAAAGGTTTTGCGAGTGCACTCTCAGAGATTAACAAGTCTCAGTATAGAAGTCGGTATGTGTCAGGATGATTATGAATACTCTGGGTTTATCATTGATGCCCCTAGGCTCAAGTTTTTGAATATCCAAGATGCTACATCTAAGAACAAAACCATAAGCAATCCGGGTTCCTTAATCAGTGTCAACATTTATCGATCGACCGATATTAGTGCTAATGAAGTAAACTTTTTTACTAGTCTCTCAGGAGTAAGGAATATGAAGATTACTTGGGGAATTTTCGCGGTATGTTTATGCAGTCCTATGTTATGTCATCAAAGTTTTCCTCACCAATTTTCTGATTTCCTTTATTTTCCCTTCTTGTGAGTAGTCCATCATACCAGTACCCCAATTTTGCAACCTGTCCTGTTTGGAAGTAGAGCTTCATTGTTTCTCCATGGAAAAGCTGACAAAGTTTCTTGAAAGTTGTCCCAATCTAAGATCCCTAATCTTGGTAATGCATGGCTTGTACAAACCCTAGATTTATCTCATACACTTAAGAAATGTGTTTGGTCTTACCTAAAGTCCATTCATCTTGTGTTCTGTTATGTTGTGTGTTTTGCAGAATTTCCGTACTTCCTTTATGAGTACACGCATGAGCCTCACGACAGTGCCTCCCTGTTTGCGGTCGTCGCTTGAGTTTGTAGAGATAGAAAGAAATCAGGGACTCGATAAATCTCTCTGTGAAAGTAGCAATGTACTTTGCAGAGAACTCAGCAATTTTGAAGAAACTTGTTCTACGTTTAGGTCCTTTAGGAGGAGGTTCTACGAGTGAAAAACATTCCAAGACCTTAAAGAATCTCATGGCATCGCCGAGGCGATCCAGCACGTGTCAAATCGTAGTTTGTGTTGACCATTAAAGTCTAAAAGCAGAACCAGCTTTTATAGAGAAAGCAAAACTTATAAGTTGATTCACTTTTTTATCTTTCAGAATTGATGTATACACCAAACAAGATGAACAAAACGTTATAAAAACGAAACAAACTCATGATTCTGACAATGCTTTATTTGATATGTACCTTTTTGTTATAAACCATCATGTCTCAGTAGATTCTGGCTCATTCTGAGTAGGAGGTGGTGACACTGGTTCTTCATGATGCTCCTCCTCTAATGGCTGCGTCTCTTTTTTCTTCTTCTTCTTCTCTTTCTGGATCAAAAGTCCAATCACATACACAGTTTTTTGTTAAGAATGATCAAATGCTGTTTGTTGATTCCAAAACCACAAAATTAAAGTTCATGAATACACTTGAGATTCAACTTTAATGCTTAAAGAATGAATCGAGATTCATATAAACATTCTCCACTAGCTTTCGTATGTAGCAAGGTGTCCAAAATTCAAACTAGTTTCGGTATATTTTTACCATTTAAGAACATTCCTCAAGTTTTCACATTTCTGAAAAAAATGTTTCTGCTATATACGTTGGACGTGTTTAAAAATATAGCTAAAAAACGAAACGTAATTAATCAACTAAATTCAATTTTAACCCATTTGGTAAAAAAAAAAAACCCTAACTCCCAATTTTTAGTGTTATTTGACACGTGCTATATCTAAGAACAAAACCATAAGCAACTTGGGTTCCTTGACCAATGTCAAAATTCTTGGGAATATGTTTCCGGATTATGATGAAGTCGACTTATGTATGATCCGTAACTTTTTTACAAGCATCTCAGGACTTAGGGATATGAAGATCTCTTGGGAAGTTTTCCATGTATGTTTATGCATTTTTATGTTACATGTCATCGAAGTTTTTCTAAGCAATTTTCTGATTTTGTGTGAGTAGTTCATCAGAAATTTCACTCAATTGCCACAATTTTGCAACCTGTCCAGTTTGGAAATAGAGATGTGTCATCACCTCCTGAAAGAGCTGCCAAGGTTTCTTGAAAGTTGTCCCAATCTAAGATCCCTAGTCCTGGTAATGCACAAACCTTAGATTTATCTCGTACACTTAAAGAAATGTGTTTCTCGTTTTCTAAAATATAACTCTCATTTTGTGTTCTCCATGTTGTGTTTTCCAGGATTTAATTGATTCCTGGCTGACAGAACAAATAAAATTCACGACCGTGCCTCACTGTTTGATGTCATCGCTCGAGTTTGTAGAGATAAAAGACAAGGCCAAATATAAAATAGACCGCGCTATGAAATTAGCAATGTACTTTGTGGAGAACTCAGTAATCCTCAAGAAACTTGTTCTGCGTTTGGAACATTCTACGCGAGGAGAAGCTTCCAAGACCTTAAGAGATCTCATGGCTTCGCCTAGGCGATCTAGCACGTGTCGATTCCTAGTTTGTTGCCGTTAAATTGACTTTTTTTGTTTTTGTTTGTCTATGGTCAGAACCAGCTTCTATAGAAAAAGCAAAACTACAAGTTTATAACAAACCGTTATATGGCATCTCTGTTTTGCTTCTTCTTCACTTTTTGGATCAAAAGTCCTATCACATATATAGTTTTCTGTTAAGAATAATCAAAATTATGTTTGTTGATTACAAAACCTCAATATTAAAGTTGTAAAAGACATTACCAGAAGATATTAATGTCCTGAGACCCTGATAAGAAAACATCAAAATATCAACAATTTATTATGAAAAGTCTGTGGGTTTATCATTGATCCCCCTAGACTCAAGCATTTAAATATCCAAGATGAAATATCTAAGAATAAAACCATAAGCAATTCGGGTAATGTACATATTCAAAACTAGGGAAACTTTAACTGTTACCAGCAAAATAAATCTTTTACGGAGTGTTCAAAACGGCAAAAACCCTAAAACTCTCTCTCGTTGCCTTTGCCTATTGAGAACGTGGCTACTACTTCTCTACCAGTCGGATCTTCTTAAATCTTACGACCCATCAGGTGAATTCTATAGTTGATTTTTCTCGGTTTTGGATCTTCATAGAGATATGTTAATTTGACATGTGTTTGTATTAAAGGGTAGTTTGGTCTTCTACTAAGCACATAATTAGGTTTAGTGACTTGTATAAATATGTAGCCTTCTGTCATATTGATCAACAAGAAGTCAACCTTTAATACGTTTAGGTTTCTTCACAGGTTCAGTTCTGCTAGTGGATTGTAATGGAGGAAACAAAAGCTAAAGAGATCTGTGTCAAACGGCGTGCAAGTTTCTCACGTGCAAGTGAAGATATGATAAGCGAGTTACCTGAGTCTTTGATATCTCAGATTCTCTCTTATCTTCCGACAAAGGAAGCTGTTAAGACGGGTGTTTGGTCCAATAGATGGAAAAGTCTCTGGCTTTTGATTCCCGGGTTGGATTTGGACTCTTCCGATTTCCCATGTTACAAATCTTTTGAGAGATTTATAGACAGGTTCCTAGACTTCACTAGGAAAGAGAAGTCATGCTTGCACAAGCTCAAGCTAAGAATTGCAAATTATGAGGATACGCAGCCTTTTCTCACGCGTTGGATAGACTTTGTGGCTACAGGTAAACTTAAGCATCTTGATGTTCAGTGTTTACGTGTGGAGCGTGAGTGTTTGGAAGTGATGCCATTAAGCCTCTATATATGTGAGACTTTACTTTACTTGAGACTCCATCGGGTTTCAATTGGTAGTTTTGAGTGTGTTTCTTTACCTTGTGTCAAGACTATGCGTTTGGAAAACAATGTATATGTCAATGATGCGTGCCTGGAATCGCTTATCTCGTCTTGCCCTGTTCTTGAAGATCTGAGCTTTCTTCAAAGCAGGTCACTTGATGATAATGTAAAAATTTTACGAGTGCACTCTCAGACATTAACCAGTCTCAGTATAGAAGTCGATACGTGTAGGGTTCCAGGATTTGATTATGAAAACTCTGGTTTAATCATTGATGCCCCTAGGCTCAAGCATTTGGACATGAAAAATCATAGATATAAGAATAAAACCATAAGTAATCCGGGTTCCTTAACCAGTGTCAACATTCTTGGCAACTTTTGTTGGATTGATAGTGCTGATGAAGTAAACTTACGAATGCTCAGTAACTTTTTTACTAGTATCTCAGGATTAAGGAACATGCAGATCTCTTGGCAAACTTTCCAGGTATGTCTATGCATTTTTTTGGTTCTTGTCATTAAAGTTTTACTCACCAGTTTTCTGATCTCATCCCTTGTTTTTTTTTTTTTTTGTGTAGTTCATCAGGCATATCATGCCATCACCCCAATTTTGCAACCTGTCCTTTTTGGAAATAGAGCTTCATTATTTCACCATCGAAATTCTGCCAAATTTTCTTGAAAGTTGTCCCAATCTAAGATCCCTAATCTTGGTAATGACTTTCACAAACCCTTTGATTTATCTCACTCACTTAAGAAATGTGTTTAGTCTTACCTAAAATCCATTCACCTTGTGTCCTGTTTGCGTTGCAGGGTTTACGTAGCTGCCTAATGAGTAGAAATATGAGACTCACGACCGCACCTCGCTGTTTGCTGTCATCTCTCGAGTCTGTAGAGATAAAACACAGTAATTCATCAGGAGATGTTTCCGTAGATTTCTCAGTGGAAGTAGCAATGTACTTTGCAGAGAACTCAGTAATCCTCAAAAAACTTGTTCTGCGTTTGGGATATTCTTTACGTCCAGAAAGTTCCGAGGTCCTAAGGGATCTCATGGCATCGATGAGGCGATCTAGCACGTGTCAAATTGTAGTTTGTTGACCACAAACCGTTATAGGAAGGAAAAAACAAAAAATTATGATTCTGGCAATGCTTTATTTGATATGTACCTTTCTGTTATAACTATTACGTCTCAGTATATTTTGACACTGGTTTATGATGCTCCTCTAATGGCTGCATCTCTATTTTCTTCTTCTTCGCTTTTTAGCAATGAAACAGCGAAACTTTAAAAAAAACAACAAGAAGGGCATTTGCCATTAAAAACAATACAAAGCGTACGTCTTCGTTAAGTAAACCAGACACAGTGTTGAGTTGTTGACGTGACTAAGAAGTAAAGACTCCTCTAGGGTCAAGAATACGGTTTGTCAATTGTCATCGTCTATCTCTTTCCACCATTGTACAAGCGGGCTGAATTCAAATGTAGGGCAACTAAAGCTTTTCTCTTTCCTTCAAAAGCTTTTCTTAAAACGCTATAACAAACGAGTGTCCAGTGTTGAGTGTTCAAAAAGGGACAAGCCCTAAAACGTCTAAAAGCCTAAAATCCATCAGGTGAATGCTTTTGTTGATTTTTCTCGGTCTTGGTTAAATGGATTGCTCAGCTCAGTTGTCTAATGATCTGTTTGAAAGCACAGCTTCCTTGTTTCTTCCTAAAATACCTGTCAAATTTTCTTGAATGTTTTCCAAACCTAAGATCCCTAATCTTGGTAATGGCTTGCACAAACCCTAGATTTATCACATACACCGATACACGTAAGAGATGTGTTTAGTGTTATCTAAACTTCACTCATCTTGTGTTTTGCAGGTTTTGCATAGTCCCTACGTGAGAGAACTTTGCAGAGAACTCAGTTATCCTGAAGAAACTTTTTCTACGTTTAGGTCCTATAGATGGAGCTTCTACGAGTGAAAAACATTCCAAGAGTTTAAGGAACCTCATGGCATCGCCGAGGCGATCTAGCACGTGTCAAATCGTAGTTGGTTGACCATTAAAGTCTAAAAACAGAACCAGCTTCTATAGAGAAAGCAAAACTTACAAGTTCTTTCACTTTTTAATCTTTCATAATTGATGTATACACCACACAAGATGAACAAAACGTTATAAAAACGAAACAAAATCATGATTCTGTAAAATGCTTTATTTGATATATACCTTTTTGTTATAAACCATCATGTCTCAGTAGATTCTGGCCCCTCATTCTGAGTAGGAGGTGGTGACACTGGTTCTTCATGATGCTCCTCCTCTAATGGCTGCGTCTCTTTTTTCTTCTTCTTCTCTTTCTGGATCAAAACTCCAATCACATACACAGTTTTTTGTTAAGAATAATCAAATGCTGTTTGTTGATTCCAAAACCACAAGATTAAAGTTCATGAATACACTTGCATGGAATTAAGATTCAACTTTAATGCTCAAATAATGAATCGAGATTCATATAAACATTCTCCACTAGCTTTCATCTGTAGCAAGGTGTCCAAAATTCACACTAGTTTCGCTATTTTTTACCATTCAAGAACATTCCTCAAGCTTTCACATTTCTGAAAAATATTTCTACTATATACTTTGGAGTTTGGACGTGTTAAAAAATATAGCTAAAAACGAAACGTTATTAATCAACTATATTCAATTTTAACCCATTTTTGGCAAAAAAAAAAACACTAACTAGTGTTATTTGGATCATTCGATATTCCTTGAAACTAACAAACGCGTGCCAGTGTTCCAAAAGGGACAAGCCCTAAAAGACTCTCTCATTGCCTATTGAAAACTTCGCTGCTACAATTTCTCTACAGTACTCGTCGGAACTCCTAAACTCCATCAGGTCAATTTTATTGTTGATTTTTCTCGGTCTTGGATTGCTTAGCTCAGCTGTCTAATAATCTGTTTCTGAAGTTCGTCCTTTTAGTCTTTTACTTAATTTCGAGATTGCCCCTTCGGTTTTGTTACATATGTTTGACATATTTGTGTTAAAGGGTAGTTTGGTCTTCTACTTAGCACATAAAATTAGGTTTAATTAGTCCTTATATAAGTGTGCAGCCTCGCTCATATTGATCAGTAACAAAACGTTTAGGTTTCTTGGATTCTGCTAGTGGATTGTAATGGAGGAAACGAAAGCTAAAGGAAATTGTTTCAAAGAGCCGGCAGGTATCTCAAGTGCAAGAGAAGATATGATAAGCGAACTACCCGACTCTTTGATATCTGAGATTCTCTCGTATCTTCCGACAAAGGAAGCTGTTAGGACTTGTGTTTTGTCCAATAGGTGGAAAAGTCTCTGGCTTTTAATCCCCGGGTTGGATTTCGGCTCTTCCGATTTCCCATGTTACAAATCTTTTGAGAGATTTATAGACAGGTTCCTAGATTTCAAAAGGAAAGAGAATTCATGCTTGCACAAGCTCAAGCTAATAATAAGCATTATGGATGACCAATCTTGTGCCACACGTTGTATAGACTTTGTGGCTACGCGTAAACTTAAGCATCTTGATGTTCAGTGTGAGTGTCTGAAAGTGATGCCCTTACGCCTCTACATATGTGAGACTTTACTTTACTTGAGACTCCATCGGGTTTCAATAGGTAGTTTTGAGTGTGTTTCTTTACCGTGTGTCAAGACTATGCGTTTGGAAAAAAATGTATATGTCAATGATGCGTGCCTGGAATCGCTTATCTCGTCTTGCCCTGTTCTTGAAGATTTGAGTATTGTAAAAAGACATGAAGATGACAATGTAAAGGTTTTACGAGTGCACTCTCTGACGTTAACTAGTCTCAGTATAGAAGCAGGAAGGTGTGAGTATACCGGAATAGATTATGAAAACGCAGGGTTTATTATTGACGCCCCTAGACTCAAGCACTTGAATATTAAAGATGCTACATCTAAGAACAAAACCATAAGCAATTTGGGTTCCTTAACCAATGTCAACATTCTTTGCAATAGGTGTCCGAGGTATATTGCTGATTATGATGAAGTCGAGTTACGTAACTTTTTTACAAGCATCTCAGGAGTTAGGGATATGAAGATCTCTTGGGAAGCTTCCCATGTATGTTTATGCATTTTTATGTTACATGTCATCGAAGTTTTGCTTAGCAATTTTCTGATTTTGGTTTTATTAATTTTTGTCTGAGTAGTACATCAGGAATTTCACTCCATTGCCACAATTTTGCAACCTGTCCAGTTTGGAAGTAGAGATTTATCATCACCTCCTGGAAGAGCTGCCAAGGTTTCTTGAAAGTTGTCCCAATCTAAGATCCCTAGTCTTGGTAATGCACAAACCTTATATTTATATCTCATACACTTAAGAATGTTTTTTTTCGTTTTCTAAAATTCACTCTCATTTTGTGTTCTCCATGTTGTATTTTGCAGGATTTAATTGGTTCCTGGCTGCCAGAACAAATAAAATTGACGACCGCGCCTCGCTGTTTGATGTCATCGCTCGAGTTTGTAGAGTTTGTAGAGATAAAACACAAGAACAAATATACGATAGACCCCGCTATCAAATTAGCAATGTACTTTGCAGAGAACTCAGTAATCCTCAAAAAACTTGTGCTGCGTTTGGGAGGTTTTATACCTGCAGAAGGTTCTGAGGTCCTAAGGGATCTCATGGCATCGATGACCCGATCTAGCACGTGTCAACTCGTAGTTTGTTGACCACAAACCCTTACAGGAAGGAAAAAAGACAATCATGATTCTGGCAAAGCTTTATTTGATATGTACCTTTCTGTTATAACTATCACGTCTTAGTAGGTTTTGACACTGGTTCATGATGCTCCTTTAATGGCTGCATCTCTATTTTATTCTTCTTCTTCTTCGCTTTTTAGCACTGAAACTTTTAATAAAAACAACAACAAGGGCGTTTGCCATTAAAAACAATACAAATTAAAGCGTCTTCGTTAAGTAAACCAGACAGAGTGTTAAGTTGTTGTCGTGACGAAGAAGTAAAGACTCCTCCAGGTCTAGAAGAGTATTGTTTGTCATCATCTATCTCTTTCCACCATTGCACAAGCGGGCTCAATTCAAAAGTAGGGCAACTAAAATCTCTTTCCTCCAAAAGCTTTTCTTAAAATACTATAACAAATGAGTGTCTAGTGTTGAGTGTTCAACAAGGGACAAGCCCTAAAACTTCTAAAAACCTAAAATCCATCAGGTGAATGCTGTAGCTGATTCTCGGTCTTGGATTAATGGACTGCTCAGCTCAGCTGTCTAATGATCTGTTTCTGAAGTTCGTCCTTTAACTTAATTTCGAGATTGTCACTGCGGAATCTTTCGGTTTTGTTAACGATATGTTTGACATGTTTTGTAATGAAGGGTAGTTTGGTCTTCTACTTAGCACATAATTAGGTTTAATGAGCTGGATGATCAGTCTTGGGTCAGGCGTTGTATAGACTTGGTGGCTACATCGAAGCTTAAGCATCTTGATGTTGAGTGTTCACGTGTGAAGCGTGAGCGTTTGGAAGTGATGCCATTAAGCCTCTCTATATGTCAGACTTTACTTTACTTGAGACTCCATCGGGTTTCAATAGGTAGTTTTAAGTCTGTTTCATTACCTTGTGTCAAGACTATGCGTTTGGAAAACAATTTATATGTCAATGACGCGTGCCTGGAAAGCTTCAAACCCAAGAAACTGTTTGATTTCTTTCTTTTCTTTTGTGTAGTTATCTCTACTCATTAAACAAATATATTATCCTAGTTGACTTTTAATAAAATCTCATTGACTGGTTAAATTAATCAAAACGTGAGAGAACGTCGTAGCATTTTAGAATATATACATACAAAGTTTGAGCGTTGACCTGTGTTGTTTTTTTTTTTTGCAAACAGGAATTCACAACACAAGCTTACAAGTGCTAAAGATAATCTGCCTCTCTCTAATCGGACCACTCATCGCGTTGACTTTCTGTGTCGGTCTTGTCATGTGCAGCTCCGATAGAGTCTCTTCTCAGGTCATACAACACGCCATGCTTGCAAGGATTTCCGGATCCGTGATACCCCAGCCAGAAAGCGAACAAGTCATCACGAGGACGGGTCTCGATGAGTCTACGATTGAGTCTTACAAGAAAGTTGAGTTAGGTGAGAGTAGGAGACTTCCGACCGGGTCAAATGATGTTGTGTGTTCCATTTGTTTGTCCGAATACGCAAGCAAAGAGACCGTTAGGTGCTTACCCGAATGTGAACATTGTTTCCATACTGAATGCATTGATGTGTGGCTCAAGTTGCATAGTTCTTGTCCGGTTTGTCGGAGCAATCCTTCTCCGGCGCGTGAAGGCTGCAACTAACTTTGTATATATGAAAATTGATTTCCCGGCTGTCAGATTAATGGTTTTGAATAGTCTTGTAACGTTTCACGTTTGTATATATTAATTTGGATTTTTTGGATTCTCAAAAAGAGAAATTAAGTGGTTTTGTTTAGAGTTTTAATTAAAAAAATATAGGGCTTAAAAGAAACTGTCGAAATGAAGCCCAAACACGAAGTTCAAAGATTTTGTTTCCATTTCTCTAAATTCTGTTTCTCTATTCAACTCTTCGTGTATGTATATGTATATATATGCATGTGTAATCAAAAAGGAGCAATCAAATCTTAAACCCTCTACTCTCTGCTTCATCGTATCAGACAGGTTCGTGATGATTTCTCTTTTTTTGTTTTTTTGTTTTTTTAATATTTTTGGCTTTTGGTGATCTCTCTTGTGCAAGAAGTAACACATTAATTGAAAACTGTGGAGATCGGTTTTAACGTCAGAGGGTCAAGAATTATGAGAATTTATTTTAAGTTTTGTATTTGATTTAGGGTTCTTGTTTAAATTCTGAATTTCATTTGTTTAAGTAAAATTAAATTTCTTGATCATCTCTCACTCCCTTGTTTTTTTTGTTTCAGAGATGGCTGACGTCTCCATCAAGAAAATCTCTCCGAAGCTCGGGGGAGAAAGAGGAACCCGAAACCCTAGAGGCCCAAGTTCTTCACATGACCTCGTAGAGCAAATGGAGTTTCTTTACGTGGAATTAACAAAAGTGGAGCATGTACCCCAGACATGTATCCCCATCGTCGACATCACTCTCGGAAACTACAATTCCTCTACCAGAGATCTACCAGTTAGACCTAACTGGGAGTGGAACCAAGTCTTTGCTTTCGACAAATCCAAAGCCGATGTCTTGTCCTTCTCTCTGAAAGACGGTTATACAAATACTGAGATTGGCAAACGAAGTTTCAAGCTGCCCGCGGATATTCCGTCAAGGGTTCCCCCCGATGCAAGAATAGCGGCAACGAATTACGACATGCAGAACACTGGCATGAAATTAGTGATGTCGATTTGGTTCGGTACACAAGCCGACGAGGTCTACTCAACCGCTTGGTTTTCGGATACGTGTGGTGTGAGTGCTAGTTGCGTGAAAAACACGCGACCTAATATCTACCTAGCTCCAATGCTCTGCTACCTTAGGGTTACGATTGTTTCAGGTCACGATTTGATTTCCCACGACGGAAGACGGCCTCCTTCAGCTTTCGTGGAGGTACAAGTAGGTGAACAAAAACTAAAAACCGGGATCTCTACCGGTTCGAACCCGTCGTGGAATCAAGATCTCATCTTCGTCGCATCGGAGCCGTTAGAAGATCTAGCAGTCACCATCGAAATATGGGACAAGTCGATGATCAACACAACCAATTGATAGGAGTATTAGAGAGAAGACTTCAAAGATATTACCCATCTTAAACAACCCGGACCCGTACCGCTTCTGCCTGCGACATTAAACTGCCGGATAACCCCCAACCGGCAGGGGATACTAGGCGGTTCGCAAGCAAACTTATAGTGAAGCTAGCTACGGATCAGACCTACCACGTCTTCGACGAATGCAGCCAATACTGCAGCGACTATCGCCCTTTCGCCAAAGGGCTATGGCCTGGCGTGCTGGGCAAGTTAGAGGTCGGGATCTTGGGAGCTACAGGGTTAACCCCGATGAAGAACTCGCAGTTTCAGAGACACGCTTACACTGTAGCCAAGTATGGGAACAAATGGGCAAGGACTCGAACCGTGGTCAACAATGCGTCTCCCAAGTGGAACGAGCAGTGCTCATGGGATATTTACGAGAAGTGCACCGTCTTCACGATTGGCCTCTACGACAACCATCAGTTAGTGGTGAATAGCGGCCTTGATGATGTTCCGATCGGGAAAGTGAGGATTCCGTTGAGTAAGCTGGACTGGAACAAGATCTACACGGGCTCGTTTCCGATCTTGGTGTTGGGGAAAGAAGGGTTGAAGAAAACCGGTGAGATCCAGCTGGCGATCCGATGCGCTATTCCTCCGCCAGCGTGGTTGTTTTTCTCGCCGTCCTACTTTTTGGCTACGTCTCCTTTCCGTTGGATGCTGCCGAAGTCTCATTACAAGGCCCCTTTGGGGCTGCTTCAGTACGAAGACCTGAGGTCGAAAGCCGTTGAGGTGATATGTTTTAACTTGAATAAAACAGTGCCGAAGTTGAGAAACGAGGTGGTCAAGGACATGTTGAAGCCGAGGAGTAAGAGGTTCAGTATGAGAAGAACCATAGCTAATTTCGAGAGGCTGTGTAGATTCTTCATGTGGTTGTATGGCCCGTATGCTTGGCTGGATGCGAATCTGGTCTCCACGACGGATGTTGGTCGGAAAGCGGTTACGTTTGGTGTCTGTTTCCTACTTGTTGTTGGCCATCGCTTTTTTTTGTGGTTGTTGGTGGATTGGTGGTTATATGCGTATATCGGTGGGGTTTATATTCTTTACCGAGTGTACAAGCTCAGGACCGTAGCGTTTAACATGATCATGAATCGGAGCAACCCTGCTACTCCTTTGGTTCTGGTGGATTTGAAGCTGTCGAAGCTGGACTCTCCCAACCTAGACATATTAGACGAGGAGTTTGACTCGATGCCATCGTCGGAGTCTGACGTGTACGTGCTTAGGATGAGGTACGATAGGATGAGGAAGATGGGGGAGAAAATCATGTTGTTAGTGGGAGATTTTGCGTCGCAATGCGAAAGGCTTCAAGCGTCCTGGAGGTTATGTACCGACCATATAGTCGTAGTAATTTGCTTGGTGTTCCTCGGTTACGGAGTTCTTCGGTTACTCCAGTCTGAGACTGAGTATGTGTTTAAGTCTGTCCTTCTCCTCTTTATTTCCTATTGGCTTAAATTCCCGTGGCATCGCTACGGTTTGCCAAGCGCCACCAAGAACTATATCAGAAGATTTTCATCCCACGAAGACCTCATCATCACCTGACTAATTGTCTAGGGTTTTGGTTTCATGTATTTTCTTGTTTCGTGTGCATGTATCGGGGCATTGGTGTTTAATGCCCTCTTATTATTAGCAATTAATAAAGTAAAACTAGTACGATGATTTGTTTTATAACTCAAAGAAGATTGAGTCACTTAGTTTATACGTCAGATTCCACCTATCTCTGTTCTCAGCGTATTTTTATAAAATTTGCTCTTTCAAATTGGGTTTAAGCAAGATATATTGATGGTGCAAAATCATTGCTGATGCTCGTGGTGTTAAGTAACAACAGTTTGTTGTTGTTGTTGTTGTTGTTTCCTGCTCTACTTAGACCTGAGGAAGAAGAAAGAAACGGAGAAACAAAATGCTCAAGTAAACCATGCCATCAACTGAAAGGAGCTAGAGTCAAAGGGACGATCGCTTTAATGAAGTGGAAGATCGGTTATGCTCTCTCAATTTTTTTTTTTCACATTCAAGTGCTATCACTTATTTTGTCACCCTTTTTCATTGTGTCCACAGCTTCTGATTAGATTTATGAAGGTTTTAGGCTTTTTATTGAAAGAGATATTGTTAACAGGAAGAGAGATATGCAATCCTGGCAAAGATTGTAGTTTCACAAGCTCATTTAGACATATCAAAATACAAATGTCACATGCCTCCAAACCAATCATAATAGAGAAATCAGCAAAGTCTTTTAGTTACGACATTTTGTACCCAATAGAAGAATAAGATTCCATTTTCAAGCAAGTCCCCCGACTTTGCCAATTTATCAAACTTAGAGGAGCAAAGAACAATTATTCACTTTTAAACTTTTATAAACTTGGAGACTACTCCAATTTTGTGTGCTTTTACTAAACTACCACTTCACTCCACTCCACTCCACTCCACTCCAATCCATTATATATAAGCTCCTCATAACAAAAAATAATAATGGATCAAAATCAAGCAGTTGTAGAGATACATGTTCTCGAGAGAGAATTATTTGTGATCCATATTCAAATGTTGTGGGTCTTTATGGGTTTGTGTTTTGGGAGTCCGTACATTAGTGTTTACTATTGTGTATAAATAAGCTCGTTGTAGTTGTAGAAAAAAGTATTCAGCTTTCTCTTTATTTCTTTAAAATCTAAAGAAAAAAAATGGACGAAAATCAAGAAATTGTAAATATATTGGTCAGAATCGAATTCTGAATGGTGCAAGCCCCTAAGCCAAAAAGTTAATTACAAACTTAAAACCCACATTCCGAGTCAGTTTCCAAGGAATTAATGTGTCTATACCAAGTGGTTTGGGTTTCAAATCTCATCATGTAAAAAAATAAATTGTCATTGTGTCAGTTTTTGACTTTTGTATTAAATTATTCAATCATTCGTTAAAAAGAAAATTGGATTCCGATTAAAATTCATGGGCTTCCAAAGTCTATCTAAAGCCCAATAAACTGAAGCTTCAAAAACAAAATTATGCACCAGCCGGGAATCGAACGCGGGTCTGTACCGTGGCAGGGTACTATTCTACCACTAGACCACTGATGATTTACGGTTCACGAGAGCAAGTTAAAGTAAAGATTTTAATACAAAACATTTGTAAGTCTAGATTTTCAGACCTTGATATTCTTATTCTTCATCAGATTTGATAGGGAATTAATCGGAAGTCACCGGATTTTTATCTCCCGGAGAGAAATTTACCCAAACAAGTATCACCACAGTTGCATGATTATTGATTAGCAGAGAGTGATTTCTTCAAATTCAATCGAAACCCTAGATTCCGTACGTATTTCTTCGTAAAACCTCCCAAAAATTGGGGAAAGTTGATGAGCGATGATGCGGAAAGACGAGACTCCAGATAAAACTCGGGCCTCCCCTCTCGATTCGAATCCTCCGAAATGGGTCTGCCAAAAATGTCACCACTCCCTTACCATCGTCGGCGTCGATTCCTACGCCGGAAAGTTCTTCAACGAATCTCCTCATTCCGGTTAGGGCTTCTTCCTCTTTCTCTTGATTCCCTTCTTTATTTTGCTCTTGGTGATCTCTCTCTTGTGCGGGATGTAACTTCGAACTTCATGTGATTTCAATACATTTGAGTTCTTCTCCAAGAAATTGTTTAAATTAGAAGTTACTGCTCTGGAATATAGATTTGTAGCTTATCAAATCCCTCACACTGAATGTAACTGTTACATGCAGCAATGCACGGCTCTTCAATCCATGGAGCCAACAGTGTTCTTGGTTCAACACGCATGGACAACTCTTTTGTTGTTTTGCCTCGTCAGAAGCCTCAAGCTCAGGGCATTCCTCCACGTCCTCGTGGTGCTGACGCAAACCATTCTGGGAAGGCAATGGAAGAATCGTTTGTAGTCGTGTATAAGTCTGAGTCTGCAGCTTCTGATTCAGGCGGTTCTCAGAATGCGTCGCCTGAAGTCGGCCAAAATGGTCCATTGCATTCAAACAACTCAGGATTCAATGCGACCATCAATGTCTTAACACGTGCTTTCGATATCGCCAGAACTCAGACACAGGTACGGTGATACTGTAACCTTTTGGCTTCACCTTTGTAGAGTATAACCACTGGATAGAACGGACCTGATAACATGTTTTGGTTTCTTAGGTTGAGCAGCCATTGTGCCTAGAATGCATGAGGGTATTGTCTGATAAGCTTGAAAAAGAAGTCGAGGATGTGACGAGGGACGTTGAAGCATATGAAGCATGCGTTCAGCGGTTAGAAGGAGAGACCCAAGATGTTCTTAGTGAAGCTGATTTTCTCAAGGAAAAAAGAAAGGTCCTTTTCAGTTTCAGCAAATTTTTTTGTTTTTTTTACTCTAATATGAATTGCTCATGATGTTAAGTAATAAGCTTCTTGTTGTTTCCTGCTCTACTTAGATCGAGGAAGAAGAAAGAAAACTTCTCGCAGCTATAGCAGAAACGGAGAAACAAAATGCTGAGGTGAACAATCAACTGAAGGAGCTAGAGCTAAAGGGAAATCGGTTTAATGAGCTGGAAGATCGGTTAGGCTCTCTCACTGTTCCCCTTCAGTGCTATCACTTATTTTCTCACATATATGCTTCTATAACGTTTTTGGTTTCTTTGTGTTATAGGTATTGGCAAGAGTTCAACAATTTTCAATTTCAACTAATAGCCCACCAGGTGCGTTGCTGGTGATAATCTTAGGTTTTTCCCTCATTTCAGTAAATGATGCTTTGAAAGGTTCATGTAGATTTTCCTTAGTGTTAACAGCTTTTGATTAGATTTATGTAGTCAGTACTGTGTCTTTGTTAACAGGAAGAGAGAGATGCAATCTTGGCAAAGATTGAAGTTTCACAAGCACATTTAGAGTTATTGAATAAGACAAACGTGCTGATGGATGCCTTTCCCATACGAAGTGATGGAGATTTTGGTACAATCAACAAGTTTCGGCTTGGAAGACTCCCTAAAGTACCGGTAAGCTTTGCGAGCTCCCTCTGTATGTCATCATAACCTCATAGTGCTCATATGAAGTCTATACTTAACGTCACATGAAACATTTTTAAGGTCGAGTGGGATGAGATAAATGCAGCTTGGGGCCAAGCTTGTCTTCTCCTCCACACGATGTGTAACTACTTCCGGCCAAAGTTTCAGTATCCTTTGTTATTATCTCGCAATCCTTTTCTTTAATCGTTTTCTGTTTGATACTATTTACTGTTTTATGGAGTTTGTCTTTAACCCTTTTAAAGATCTCGAGTTAAAATACAACCTATGGGAAGTTATCCAAGAATTGTGGACAGCACCAACAACACTTATGAGCTGTAAGGAATTCTCAAGATGCTTTAGACTCAAAAGAGATTTCTTGTGTTGATTTTTACGTGAATCTTTTGGTGAGATTCGTCTTTCTTTCTTGAGCATTTTTGACGAAAAGCTGTTTTGATGATGATCTTCTTCAGGTTTGGACCTGTGAACCTTTTCTGGAGCACTCGGTACGATAAAGCCATGACATTGTATTTGACATGTCTGAAAGACTTTGCCGATTTCGCAAACGCACAGGATCGAGAGAACAATGTTCCACTAGAGAAATGCCTAAAACTTCCATACAAGTAAGTCCCCACTCTCCTAAAAGCCAGCCAAAATCAAATTTCTGTTACCGAGTAGCACACCCTTAAGAGTTTATTTTCTTATATAAAAATCCATTTGCAGGATCGACAATGACAAAGTGGATACATATTCAATAACACAGAGCTTCAACAAGCAAGAGACTTGGACCAAAGCACTAAAGTATACTCTCTGCAACCTCAAATGGGCTCTCTATTGGTTCATTGGGAGCACCAATTTCCAGTCTCTCTCTGCAACGGTCTCTTTGCCTTCTGATGTATCAGCAGCTGGCTCCTTGTACGCCAAGCGAGGTCCTGCTTCTAATAAGCCCTCAGGTAGAAAAACCTAAGCAACTCCAAATGAAATCAGCGACTTGTGTGAATAGCTTTAAGCATTAAGCATTTATATGTTACGACATGGAATAATAACAACGCTAATAATGCTTAGAACTTACTGTACAGCTTCTTTTGTGTTATAAATCTTTTTTCAGAAAGTGGGCCGATAAATATTTGGGCCCTAAATATTTCATTTTTCCAGCCCAAGTTATTTTATTATATATTTCCTGAGTTCTTGGTTATTTACAAAAAGTTCCCTATAGTTTCGGTTGTTAACTTGTTATGTCCCTCACAATTTTAGTTATTGACATAATCACCCGATCTGTTCGGTTCTTTACATAATCTCGTACTATTTTCAATTATTTTAGAAAGATCCCTACATTTTTTGCCATTGACACAGGTGCCCCATTTGCCAATTGTTACAAAACGCAAGAGTTATCAAATTACAACTTTTTTTCATTGCCTTACGATGAGAGTTTTCATTTTGATTCTTTCGCAATGGTAAGATTTATGAAAACTGAATGCCTGAGTTCGCCGACACAACATTAGACATTTATATAATTTCTCATGAGAAAAATATAAAGTTACTCTGAAATAAATATCATCCATTTGGAGGATAAAACTATAGCACATAATTGAACAACAACAAACAAAAAAAGCTAAACTACAACCGAAGCTTCATTCTAACACTCTTATTCAAAGACTTTGATTTACTGTTTATGTTTGTATCTGTTGGTGTTTACATATCTGAAGAAGATTACGGTCGTTACCTTTCAATTCAAGGCTTGTCTTCGTCTGAATTAGAACATGGAGGTCCAGGCACGGAATCCACGAAAAACTCCTCTGTTCACACCCAAAATATATTCGACAAAAATTAATAATGATAATCAAAAAGAGAAAACTGCCAAAGAAGAAGATTGGGAGAGTTTGAGACTTACCTATATCCTCTTGTTCAGGAGAATCCAGCAAAATCTCAGAATCGGATGGAAGAAACGGAGAGCCTGGATAGTTTCCTAAGGCTCCTAAATCTGCGATATACATGTCTTTATCTTCATAATCAGCTCGTGTTCATGTTATCTTAACAAAAAAGTCAAAATGGATGTAGAATTGAGACTCACCTCCCAAGTTTGACAGATCTGCGGTGAGATCAGAAAGGCTAAAGTTCCAAGGAATCTGATGATCAAACGACCTGAGAGAATCTCTGGAGCTGCCGGCTGCTCCTCCTCCTCCTTCTCCTCCAACATCAGACGTGAATCCGGAATCAAGCACTGAACTGTCCATGGCCAGGTCTGAAGCAGCAAATGGGAAGTGTCCACTTGATGCCACAGAAGCTGGACTCACTGCCATCTCAGACACCCCACAGCTGTTTGTTGGATTCACTTGAGGAGTTGCAGCATCATCAGCACTTGTATCCACCACCATCCTAACACACACAAGAAATGGAGATTTAGGCTAAAGAAATCATCACCATCATCAGCTGATATAAGTGAACTTGTAAGCTGTAGCTCTTACTCATTCGCGGAGTTCATCCTCATTGGCTGGAAATTCGCAGGCGCAGGGACTCCATTAACAACATGGCAGCTTGATATTCCCATTGCATCCATATGAGGATGTCCCGGAGCATGCATGTGGGGATGTTGAAGTACTGGATATCCCATTGGCATGTTAACTGCACTGCGAAACAACATCGTTCAATAACAGTGAAACTAACTATACAAAAGCCTTATTACCAGGTGACATAGGGTTTCAGACTTATTACCAGGTGCCATGGGATGATGATGCATTCCGTTTTGCATCGGCGCCAGAGCAATTTTTGGAGGGAGAGGAGGATACTTCATGAGTTGGGACTGGTGCTCAAGCAAATGATTGAACATTATTATTTGCTTCTTCAGTTTCAGCCTGATATAGTAAGCCCTGAAAAACTCTGCGTTTTCTTCTTCCAGTTTCTGCCAAACTGATTTCACAAGAAACAAAAGGGTTTGTCAGAAATGGACTTTTCATTCGAAGCTGCTAATGCTATAACTAGTACTAATTCATACTCTCAACGGTATTTAGCATGCGATTTGTGTCACACTTCAACATCTCAGTATCCTATAGAAGCTCTCTCCTACTCACTCTACTTCAGTGCAAAGAATGAAGTTAGTCTAGTAAGAATCTGAAATTCTAAGACTGAAAGAAAGTTTCTGATGCAAAGTGAAGAAAGAGACTTTAAAAAACTTCAAAAGCTTACCCAAGGTTGTAAATCCAGGGTCTATCCTAGCCCGAGTCAAGAGGGTCTTCACGACCTCATCTCTGTTCATGTACAACTGAAGACATCTTTCTATCAAATTTTGGACCTACACCAATCATTTCCAAGTGTATATCATCAGATGTTACGCATATACACATACATACAAACACATAAATAGAGACACAGAGAGAGGTAAAGCCTGCATTTTTTTTCAGTTAAATATGACAAAAAAAAAAGAGGTCGGAAATGTTCTCTTACAAGTTCAATATCTTGTCTTGAAACTTTCCTACTGTCAGTGCTTGAACCAGATACAGAAACAGCATCTTGAATAGGAGCTTCTACTGATTGGATATTTTTCTCTTCACCTTGTGACTCATGTGAAGCTTGAGTGGAAGATTGTAGCTCCTGTGCGCACTGAATTAGATAATATTTATTCCAACATATTTCACTTTTCGGTAATCAAAACATCCACAAGTACTGAAACAGCTTACTGAGACCACTAATAGCTTCCTATATGAAAGTGTTGATCAATCAATCAATCAATCTCTAACATGAATAATAGCTACAAATGAACAGCAACAACTTGGTACATTACAAAAACCAAGGGATTGTAAGAAAATAGCACAAGCGACTGAGTTTTGAAGAGCACTAAGCCAATGCAACAAAGATGATAAAAGGTGTAAAAACTTATTACCTGTCCGTTCTTCATCACAACTGAAAGCAAACTGCATGCATCCTCTAATCAGAACTGTTCTTTTTAGCGGCAGTTAACAACAGTGCAATCAATAGAGCTCAGGATCTTGGCGAGTTTGTTTACAATTTAGAAACCAAAGATAAACCTGAAGAACAAGAAGAAGAAAAAAACAAGAATTAGCCAAAAGTGCATAGTTTCTTTACCCACCAGTTTGGATACTAGTAGCCCAACAGTCAGCTAACAGTCAAAGCAATACAATTTAGCATGATAAAGAAAAAGCATTTTTACACAGTGATTTGTTTATTACCAACAAGCATGGAAAGTGAGTCCCTCAACATTGTTTAATAGCGTTCCAAATCCCAATCAAGCACATTTAAATAATCACAATTTCATAAAGTGTACGCAAATGAACCAAAATAGTTCATATCCCCACACTATACACACTGTAGTTCACATTTCACATCTAAAACAAGAGCAAAACTAATAAATTCTCCAACTTGCAAAACCACCAGGACAAATCAGCACACCAAACAAAGAACAACCTGAAGAGTATATGTGAAATCAAATGAGCTTAATTCCAGAAACGTAAGCCATTTGTGGAGCTAATTGCTGGGGATGATGAATAGAACAAATAACAAAATTTTCAATTAGAAAAACACAATTTAAACCCCCACATGAACAGAAACTTCTCTAATAAAATATTGTAGAAAATCCAAAAGCGGAAAAGTTTATAGACATCGAATAAACAAACACAGATAAAAAAAAGATCCATCGAATCTCTCACCTTCCCGTTAACTTGAAGCCTGCAGCGAACCCTAAACTGAGGTTATCTCGACGAATTTATGAAGCAATCAGGGGACGAGTCTCAGCAATTCATATAAACACTGAAATTGCGAAACGAAGATCTGAGCTTAGAGAAGATAGTGCAAAGACGATTCGACGGAGATAGCGAGAAGAAATCAGAACGCCATTATCGAGAGACGAAGTTGCAGAGAGGATATTAAACGCTGCAGAGAGATAAGAGTGAAAAGAGAGAGAGAGAACCAAATAGTAGACTCTGGACCAAGAAGAAAAAACTTTTCCTTTTTTTCCTCGGTAAAGTAAAATAATCAGACAGTAAATGTAAAAAAAGGTAAATACAAGTAGTTGACTAGCTGAGTGAACCAAATTAGTGGGTCCCACCGCCGCCAATCGGAGTTCCACGGCCACTAAAACTGGAAGTGCGACGGAATAAAAAGAAACAAAGCCCAAAAAAGGGAAACATAATCTAAATGATGAAGGGTTTGCACAAAAAAAAAAAAAAATCTAAATGATGAAGGAAACAAGATAAAACTAAAACACGAGAGAGAAGTAAGCCGATGAAAGCATAACACTAAAACTGGAAGTGATGAATCTATCTTAATCCACAAACAAATCTATAGAAACCGGTTTATGCTGAAATTACACCAAAAACTAGAAGATTTCAGCAAACACAAACCCGAAATGGAAACTACTCAAAGCCTAAAATAGTAACTTTTGTGTGAGTTTCTCCAATATTATAAATACTTACATAATTTTTTGATAATGTTTTCTGTTTTTCACTTTTCAACTATTGTTGATATTTGTATGAGAATGGTAGCTCCATGGTGGTCTCTCACCAAATTGAGGAAAAACAGATAACTAAAGAAAATCTTCGTATATTTAATATCCAAGTCACCATTACGTAACCGATACTACTTTTTGAACGATAAAAACAAAACAAAAAGTACGTTTTCCAATTATTGACATGTATAAATGCAAGCAAGTAACTCGCGACCGATGACAAAAACAGTAGGATCACACTCACAAGATATTGCATGTGTCGAATAATTTTTGTTCACCTTAGTAATTATTTAAACAATTAATCCCGTATTCCCTAACTAGAAAAACGACAGAAAATGCTTCATAATGTCACGATTGCTTATAGGTTACTAATATTGTGCTTCAATCTCTTTCAGTTTTTTTTCGCTTGGTCCTTCGTGATGATAACGTCTTTTCTTTATCATTTTTCAATGACAGGTTTTCCAAAACTGACAGTAAGATTCAATATCGAACCAAACATATATATTACCCTAGAATGGTGAGGTCGTTCGTTGGTTGTTGTGTTACGATAAGCGGATAAGGCATGGCATGGCGTGCTCTGTGTAACTCTCCTTGGAATAGCATTTTTTTGTTATTTTGGTTTCAGGACCACTTTTCTTCTAATCAATTTCCTATGATAAAACAATTAATTTTCATAGCGAGTGGTCCGACTTCGAACCTTTTTCCTGGATATAAACGAATAGTGAGAAAATATTAATTATGTCACTTTTCACTATATAGGCACCAAATAAGATTTCCTGATTGTGGGCAATAGAGATACTATAACGTTGACAAAATAGGAACTTATCAAATATCATATGATTGAATCAAAGTAGTAGTTTATTGAGCCTCAAAGTGTGCCAAATAACATTATCTACGATCAATGAGTACGGTCAAAACGGTTAATTCTTTGGCAGCCGGTCCTATAAAACCCAAAAATTTTAATCTAGCCTCTCTTTGACCAAATAGATCTGAACCCTAATTTTTGTTCATTCTCACAATGTCCCTTGGAGGTTTCTCCAGAGTAGTTTTTTCCGATCCCTTCGATAGAGATTACTCCGGTAAGATGTGCCTTTATATTTCTTGCTCGAAATTGTGTAGTATTAGATTTCATGTGTCATGCTAAAACAAGCCTATCGAATCAAACTTTTTTTCTCCTAATCATCGTTTGTTTTGTTTATATGCGTTGTCCGTTTTGGCAGCTGGTAAAATAGGCGTGTTCTGGGACGTGAATGATTTCCCCGTCCCCGAGGGTCGCGGGATTCGTGAAATTGTCGAATCTGTTCTTAGGGAAAATGATTATATTGGTGACATATCGATCACTGTTTATGGAGAGAAGAATCCTCTCTCGCCTGAAGAAGCCGCCGAGGGTGGAATCACATTCGTACAGAGAAGTAAGATTGATTAAAACCCTAATCTTATAGATGAATCGTTGCTTGATTTAAGTTATTAATCGTTGATCACATGTCTACTTTAATTGATTTCCCTGATCTTATATATATATATCAATATTTTCAGGTGATAAATATTGGAGAGTGAACGATATGCTATTGGATATAGCTTTGTGGGCGGTGAACAGCCCCTATCCTCCTCGTCACAACCCGGCAAGCGTGATGGTCCTTGCAAAAAACAAGGAGAAGACCGAATTCTTCAGTTTCCTTGGAAGTTTGAACAATGCAAGTTTTAATGTCTTAGTAGTAGTGCCGGACGATGTTAAACCAGAAGATCAGAATGTTCCACCTGTTAACGGGGCATGGTATTGGAAGAGCATACAAGGTGATGGAGAGCCTATACCCAAAGATGAATTTCGACTCTTTATAATTAAACAACGACGTCTTTATCGAGACAATGCTGCTCAAGTCGATGTTCCTGAAGGCGCTTGTGATAAGTGTAGCAAGTCGTGCTCTGTGTAACTCTCC